ATTTTGATTGATTCCGAAAATTCATTTTCCTTGCTTTCATTTTGCTCTCTTGCGTCCTTTATTCTTCATATTATTTTAGGCAAAATTTCAGAGAGTTATAGAACACAAGGTTTTGGTTCGTCGAACAAATTTGTTTGAAGTGCTACTACAAATTTGTGAAAATCATTGTATCCTGGGAGATAGACGCCACATAACCATAAGCACCGTAGCGGGGCGAATCTGTCTTAAGGACAGAGTGTCACACACTCGACTTGGTCTTTAAATTATTGATTCGGTTCAACAAAATAAATTCTGTAAGTTTTATTTTATTTTGTTTGAATTATTTTAAGTTATTTTATTTACACAAAAGATTGTTCCAACATAATTTGCCACCTCTTTCAAAAAAATTTGGCACACCAAATTTTGAAGGTTTGGATAGAGATGAACACCACAAAAAAAATCTCACTATACACTATTTATATGATTCAGATATAAATTTTTAAATAAAAGTCCATTTATGAACGAAAAGTAATTATTTGGACATAAATAGTTGAACGGAATACGTATTTGAACAATTTTTTTTGTTCATGAATTTGTGTCCAAACATTTGTCTTTTGTTTTAAAATTAATAAAAATAATCATATTTCTTCTTAAGTTTTCAAAAATAGTTTTCTGCATTTTCAATTTACATTTTTGTATTTTTAATGGTTTTTTAAAAAAAATTAACCATTTTTTTAGATCCATTTAATCTTAATATACTTTAAATGTAAACAAAATTATTCAAAAAACTTTTAAAAATTCATTGAACACAACAAAATACAAAAATGGATTGGATTTTCATAATTTTTATATTTTTTGTATTTATTGAATTTTTAAAGTTTTTTTTCCCCACAAATATTATACTTTTTAAGCTTTAGATTAGGTGTATCTAAAAAAATAAAAATAAAAAAATGCATAAATTATTAAAAAAATTCACTAAAAACAAAAATATATGAAAAACAAAAAATTCAATTTTCTAAAAAGTAGACTTAATTTTCTGGAACCAAACACGGTGAATGATTTGCACTGAGATTTTTTGTGGTGTGCAAATAGAATTTCCATTAGAGTTAATATAATATAGCTTAAAAAAAAATAGAACTTACCACAAAGGGGTGATCTTAGATCCTAAGAAGCCAATAATAAAGTATTTATTGGTAGGGTTTTGTTTCCCTCAAGTTGGCATCTCAATTTGAGATAGTGTTTGGATTTGACATGCCCATTTTAGGACCGATCTTGATGATTCAAACTGTTTACTTTATAAGATTCGTTGAATAGAATATTCATGCAAAAAATTAAAATGATTGGACATCGATAGCTATATGTTTAAATCATATTTATTTTTTAAAAAATAGATGACAAATATAATTTTAAGAATAACCATTCATTTTTTGTAATACAAATTTGATTTAAACATATAACTATCGATATTCGATCGTCTTGATTTTTTGCGTAAATATTCTTGTCAATGAGTCCTAAAATATGAATGATTTGAATCACTGAAATCAGTCCAAAAATGAGTCTACTAAGCCTAAACGCTCTCTCAAGCTAAGATGGCCAACTTAAGAGAAGCCAAACCCTTATTAGTAATAAGTTGATTTATACATGGATAGGGTTGCAAATGAGTTGAGTCGAACCAAGCTGAGGTTTGTGCTCAAACTTGTTTATTAATAATTAGTGCTGCTCAAGCAGAGATCAAATCGAGTTTAAATCATCGAGCTCGAGTTTGGCTCATCAAATATTTGATAAATTCGAGTTCGGCTCGAGCCAACTCAATTACGTAAACAAGCCGACTTTGAACTCGAGTTTAAGTTTTTTTTAAAAAAAAACTTAGATTAATTTACTTATTATATGAAAAAACAAATTAGGAGTAAAATATACAAGAATGCTAATATTAATAATAAATTTCACTAATTAAATATGTAGATTTATAAAAAAACCAAACACAAATAGAAAAATAACTTAAATTAATAAAAATTTATTTGATATATTATTAAAAATAAATATTAATTTATTTACTTTATGTTTACGAGCTTCATCGCTTAGGGCTATTTGAACTCAACTAGATTAATAAACAAGTTATTTGAGCTCAGATCGATTAATAAACGAGCTTAAAAATTGTGTTCGAGCTCGTTCATTAGTAAGAGTCAAGCTTAAAAGAGTTTTGGACAAGCCAAGCTCGAACTGTTTATGAACAACTTGTTCGTTTGAAGCCCTATACATTGATATGATAAGGTGGCCAAGGGCGTGATGGCTCGGCCAACCCGTTTAACCAAACTTGATAATTTTAAGGTTTAAAAAAAATGTGTAACTCATATGATTGGTTTAGATTACATTTTGGAGAAATTACAAGGGGAAAAAAAAATTGACTCTTGTAACAAAATAAATATTAGAATTTTAATTTTGGCAAGTTAAATTATAATATTTCGATTTGTTTTTAATCTAAACCATTTACTTAGTTTCGTTATTAAAACTGTGTTGGCGCCACATTTAAACCGCCTAATTCGAAAAGTGACACGTGAAGGGTATTCTATAGTATTTGAAGAGATAGTGAAGAGTCCTACCTTTGAAGGTGTCCACGAGAGCTACGAATGCAAGTTTTCAACTAGTAAAGATGTTGAGTAACATGTGAGAGGCATGTGAAGAAGGAGTTAGCAAGGAGCGGTTGCTAGCAGTTACACATACACACGAAGAGAAGATTATGGCTTTAAGAAGTAGCAAGAATGAGGGAGATCATAGTGAAAGATAATAGCCTAATTGTTTTGAAGGCATCAAAAGAAGACTATAAATAGATGAAAACAAAGACTAAGAAGGCTCCTGACCAAATCCAGACTCTATGTTTTTGTCAATTTCATTTATCTTTAAATTTCAGCATTTTATTTTTTATGCACTGCACTTACACTTCATAAGAGTAGATTAACTTTGTAATCCTAGAACTCGGTCAGTTTAAAGTTTCAAAATTGCCCTTACTGAAGGTAACATTTTGTAATTATTTATTCAATTAATCAATTACAATTTCTGTCCTGTCTCTCCTTTCCATTCAGTTACGAACTTGAGTTAAAACATTGGTTCATCTTTTCAACATAACATAGTGAAGTCCTCTCCATTGAGGCTAATAAAACCTTAACACAATCGCTTAATAAAATTGGCATTTATTTTCTGTAAGGACTTTTTAGATCATTGTTGGTACGCTCAAATTACATTTCTAACATTCGAAGTGTCAAAAATCGCCAACATATATTCAAAGTGAGCTCGAGCTTGGCTTGTTTATGTAATGAAAGTGAACTCGAGTTGAGCTTAAGTTTGTCAAATATTTGACATGACAAGCCGAGCTTGATTATTTAATCTCAACTTGAGTTCGAGTTCGACTAATTCTTAATAAACAAGCATGAACATTCACAAGTTCAACTCAACTCAATTTGTTTGTAGTCCTAAGAAATCATCAAGTCAATTAATAATTTTCAAAAATATCAAAAATTATTTCAATTATTAATTAAGGTAACTTTATTATTGTATATATAAGAAAGCAGTTATGAATTTTATTTTTTTCTCCAGTTAATCCTATTAAATAAATTTGTTTGACAATGTAGTATTTGTAAATTTTCAAACCACATAAACAATTTGTATTTTACACAAACCTTATGGGATGTATTTGTAATTTACTCTAAAAAAATCAAATAAGTTCAATAATCTTGTTTATTTTATTTTATTTTGTTATGTTTATCTAAAAAATATGAATGGTCTACTTCAAAAAATATATTTACACGTATTGATTCCATAAACACAATAAAATAAAAAAATTATAATTATAAAAAATATTAATTTTTTTTTTATAGATAATATATACTAGTTTTATAAAATAAATAATTGGAATAATTGAAACATTAATTGTCTCTCAAGTTCATAATCTAATCTTGGATAAACTTTTGAGTTATTTACACAAAAACCTCCTAAGTTATCGAGAAGTATTATCTCGGTCTCTTAAATTATAAAAATGTATAAAATAAATTCATAAATTATTAAAAAGTATCATTTATTTTTAAATTATAAAAGTGTACAAATAAACTCTTAAATTACGAAAGCGTACAGATTAAACCCATTAACAAAATAGACCAAAATAAAACACATCAATAATTTAGAGGTTGATTTGTACAAGTTTTTTATAATTTAAAGGGCATAATCGTCAATAACTCAAAGAAAAATATTGAGTTGGGATTGTGATTTTTCTCTTTTGAGTTTTTGACGTCAAATCTTTTTATTAGCGTGTGATTGCTTGTTGGTGTGGTAATGCGAACAAAGGCTAAAATTGAATAATTAATCAATTTAATCATAATTTATAATTAATTGGCCTTTTGAGTCCCTTTAAGCACAATTCCTTCCGACTTCAATATACCTCCCTCTCTTTAGGACTGCAAATAAATCGAATTGTTCATGAATAAGCTCGGCTCAGCTCGACTCGGCTCGTTTAGTAAACGAGTCGAGCTCGAACTCGAATATTAAGCTCGTTTAGTAAACGAGCTTATATATTAAATAATATGTAAATATATATAAATAATAGTATAAATACATTATTTATATAAATATTTTTATTTAAATAATATAAATAATATTAAAAAAACTTATCCAACCGAGTCGAATTCAAATTTTATTGATATTAACGGCCGAGCTAAGTTCCGGTCTAACTTCTTAGCAAGCTAAATTCGAATTTAATAAATAAACTCGATAAATAAACGAGCGACTCCAACTCGGCAATGGTCGGCACCATTTGTTTGCAGCTAAGTAATGCATTGAGCGCATGCACCGATACTCCGAGACACTCCAAGTCCCGACCTATAAAGACAGCCTTGGAAGTTCTTCTCCCCACCACCCTCCAACTCCTCTCTCTCTCTCTCTCTCCGATTTTGGCACCCCGCAATACCCCAAATTCACCAAACCAAATCTCTCAGTTTTTCTCTTCTTCAAGTTCTATCTTCATTCTCTCACTCTCCGGAAAACCCTAGCATTTGCTCCTCTCAATCCCCATGCTTCCTTTCTCTTCAGCCCTCTCGGGCCATATTCGGTATTTACTCCAGAGCTTGAACGAATCGAACTCCCAAGATGTCTTTCAGGAGTTCTGTCAGGTAATCCACATGTAGATATATTGATCACAAATCAGCTTCTTTCTCTCATTTTCTAATCTCTCTCTCTCTGTGTAAAATCACCTAGATAGGTAAGTTGCATGTTGGTTTATTGAATTTTGTTTAATTTCAATTTGTTTGGGTTTTAAGCTATTAATTGTTGTTGTTCGTTTTGTGGCTAGCCACAAGGAGAAAGTTAGAAAGAAAAAATTAACACTGTGTTTGGGAACGTAGGAGAGAAAAGAAAAGAAATGATTACTTAAGTAATAAGAGAAAAAAAAGAAAAGAAAAGAAATGTAATGATTGTGATTTCTCTCATTGGATAAGGAAGAAATAAAAGAAAAGAAATAATTATGATTTCTCTCATTCTTATTTGGTTAGATTTCATTAAGAGAAAAGAAAAGAAATTATTTTATGCTATATTATCAAAATAACCTTTTTATATTTTCAATCATTTTATTTCTTTTATTTATATAAGGATAAAATTGGTATTATGAAAATAATGGTTTCTTTTCTCTTCCAATCCCTCCACTTTTTGGAAGATTAAAAATGAGGTTATAAGATAAATGAGTTTCTCTGAGTTTCTCTCAATTTCTTTCCATTTCTCTCCAGTTAGGTTATCCAAACAAGTAAGAGCAATGCATATCTCTTCATTTATTTTTCTTTCTCTCCAAATCACTCAATCCAAACATAGCGTAAGAAAAGTTGGGTTGTATGCTCTCTCGTACTGGTTCTCTTAAGATTTGATTGTGTGAATTTAGTTAAATACTTAATAGGAATTGAAACTTGCAATGATCATACTGCACTGTGCAATAAGTGGCGGCTTCAAGAATTTTTATTAGGGTAGTCAATTTTATTTTATTTTTAATCAATCAATAGAAGATTAATTACAAATATGATGAGAATTACATGAATTTGAACATTCAACTGTGAAAGAATGTCCAACATACAACCATAAATATACAACAAAAACCTCAAACAAATACGAGGGACATGCAGGTGGACAAAATTGAACCTCTAACCTCTTAGTTATATGCATGGACTCTTTGCCAATCGGCTAACCATGTGGGCATTAAAAAATTATAAAGAAAAAAATGAAAGTCAGGTTTGGAAGTTAATAAAAGTATCTCCAACCAGTATGTCAAATTTTAATTGGCAACACAAAGAGCTGTATTTGACATCTATACAAGCTCTAATGAAAATGCCATTTGCGCAAGAGTCATTTGACATTGCTCTCCCCAATTCAAATTTGACATATGGGTAGAGTGTTTATTTTTCGAGATGTCAAATTTGAAGATGTTAAAGTGCCACATAAATCATAAAAAAAAGGGCGACAGCTTTACATTTGAAAGTTGGGTTGGAGATATTGCCCTAAGAAGACAATTTTTAACTTTTGTTTTTTTTGGGAATGGAGTGGACTAGACATAAAAGGGTTGTTCAAAATTTGAAGAAGTTGGCTCAAAACAACAGCTTATGGTGTTCAAAGAAAAACAAACTTTGAGAGGTGACAATTGGTGCGTAAGGTATTCAAAATATTTTATAGAAGTCATAAATGCCATACAAAACTTATACTATTACTACCCTGAGGTGTTAATGGCGCTACCCCCGTGTGCAATATATGAAGTGTTGGAGAGTGTATAACAAGTAAATTTGGCGCCTTTAATGACAGGGAAAAGGAAGTTAGTTGTGGGGACAACTTTTGGTGTATGAGTTGTGTAAAAAATGAATTTACATGCATTCATGGAGTTAACAAATGGTAGCCCTGGCAAACAAACCCTTTTAGACTATCCTGCATACATGTTTTTTCCTATCTTGCCACAGTTGGGCTGATACTTCGTTCAATTTATAGATCAACAAACTATTTCCCATACAAAAAAAAAAAATTATTATTATTATTATTTTAAATTTGCATTTTAAATATGATATCAACGCAACATCTACAAATGATTTCTATGGGTACTAAAATCATATTGGTTTACTAGTCAATATTTATCTAAATATAGTATTGAATTTTTTTTTCCCCTTACATTCATCTAGGTTGTGTTAACATATATTGACTAGTAAACCAATATGATTTTAGTACCCATAGAAATATACATGACATGTATATAGTAGACAGATGACGACTGACTTGCTGAAAAAACAGATTCATAGAAAAATGGGCAATATAGGGGCACAATGCTAAGTTAATGTCCATGAGTGTGCCTTTTTGTGTGTGCTGATTCCTCATCTCCTCCCACAGTCCCACCCGAACTACAATAAATATTCACACACCTTTCTTCTTCAGCTTTTTTAATATATATACTTGGATTAATTTACTAATATATTTAATTTGATTTATTTGTAATTACTCATTTGGTCCCTAATTGGGTGTTCTGTTTGAGAAAACATATAGTTTAAAAAACACAACAAGGGCAATGACATTTTATATTTTTGGTACCACTCTTTCAAAGCTGCCTTTAGCAACAATTGAGAAAGTCTGTTTGCCCATTCAAAAGGGAGGGATGCTTTGGGGTTCATAATTTGGTGGTGTTTAATAGTTAATAAAACTTTGTTGGGGAGTTGACTATGGTAGTTTGCTATTGAGGATGATAGCTTGCGGAGGAAAGTATGGAAGTAAAATATGGGAGAGATTAGGATAATTTGCCCATAGGGACAATAGGTGTGCTCTATAGGGCGGGGTTGCTAATAGGCATCATAGGGGTATGGTGTGAGTTTGCTAAAAGAATTCCCTTTAAGGTGGGTAATGGGAAAATAGTGAGGTTTTGGCTAGATTTGTGGTGTGGGTGTCGACCTTTGAGGTAGTGTTTCCAAATCTTTTCTGGTTGGCTATTGATCCTAATGCGAATGTGGAGGAGTATCTCATGTTCGATGATAGTGGTGTTATGTGGATTCCTTAATTTCATAGGCACTTGGGAACACAATTGGAGATCTTTTAAGGACATTGAATTAACCTTGTGTAGTTTGAAAGTGTCTTTGGTATTTTCTTATTTTTTTGGCTGAGAGATGCTTGTCCTTGTAATTTGTCTCTTATGTAGTTCATAGGAGATTTGCACTTGCTTGTGGATGTACACTACCCAGGCTTTGACATTTTTGTTTCTAATATACATTTAAAATCAACGCCCAAATAGTATACATTAATGTGTGTTTGGGAGGGAAAAGATTGGATACGCACCTAACCTTTGGCAGAGTACCAAAGTGGTTGCCTCGAGACTTGAACCCATAACCCCAAGGTTATTAGGCCAAGGTTTCTAATATATATTTGCTTATCAAAAAAGAAATTCTCTTTAAATGGGGGATAGGTGTGGGGTTTATTCGAAGTAGTGCTCCCAAGCTTGTTATCTAGTTTTTTTTTTGTTGTTGCAATTGATAAAGAGGCACCTATTTGGACTACATAAAATTCTTTCTACTTGAACCGGTGAGGTTTGGAACCCCTTGATTCTTTTAGGGCTGTTTGATATTGAGGCTTTGTTTGTCATAATCTAAAAAGCCAAAAAGTCAAAAAGTCATTATCATATTTAAGTCACATCATCTTATTTAAGTCACATCATCTCTCTACCACATCACTTCAAACCCAACTCATATTTCATAAAAAGTCAAAAAGTACACTTATTTAGATCATCCCAAGCCACCCCTGAGAGTTGTAGTTGACAGATTTATTGTGTGGCACTGTTATTTTAAGGACGGGAGTGGTAGATAGAGTCATGCTAATTACAAATGTAGCTATATATGTACCCATTAACATACATTATATTTGTTTGTCTATGTGCTGTGCCCTTGACCTGATAAGAGCCTTTATCCTTTCACAATCCCAAACTTTGGGGAAGGTGTAGAAATTTAATGTATAAAGAGAAATAGAGAATTGTATTATTGATTGATATAATGTTATATTTATTACAATGATTTATGATTCCTATATATAGAAGAGGGTGAGTGTGTAGTAGGTAAGGAGTAGGTGAAGTGGAGGTGGTAGTGGTGTAGTGGGTTAGGCTTAGTGGAGTAGGTGAGGTGGTAGTGATGTAGGTAAGGAGTAGGTGAAGTGGAGGTGGTAGTGGTATAGTGGGTTAGGTTTAGTGGATGAAGTAGGTGATAGGTTTTAACAGAAGGTATATAGGTAATTTGAAAATCTTCATTAGCTAGATTTTTTTGAAAATATACAATTCAATCCATGAAGATTGAAAAGAATCAGTGAAGCCTAAGGATTTGTTGTATTAAGTTGAGTTGATTCGATTTTTTTGAAAATATACAATTCAATCCATGGAGGTTGAAAAAATCAGTGAATCCTAAGGATTTGTTGTATTAAGTTGAGTTGAGTTGATTTGATTTTGATCTTCTCCTATAAACCTTGCTGATTTTATGTTTCTCTTGACAGTATGTTGGATATGGAACTGAGGGAAGCATACTGATCCTCCAAACCTGCTTGGATCACCTAAATATTCATGGGAAGCATTTGAAGAATACACAATTGGAACCAATATTTGGTTCAATTATTAAATTTATGTTGGATAAACCGAATTTCAATACAGTGCTCTGTGAGTCCCTAATAAGTGTAGAGATCAATGAATATTTTCTGGAAAATCTCGCTAATGCTTTACACTTGTCAACACCTGAGACGCCCCACCCAGATTGTTTAGGTTGAAGCTTCCATATAGAGAGGTAGCTGTACACATCTTGTAGCTGTACACATCTTCTCCAAGCTCCCATTTGGCATGAACTGATACACTAAAGCTTTGAAAAATCGATTCTTTGCTATCTTGCCTTCAACTTGTTCGACAAAATGCCTAAGTGAACTTCTGTCACTGAGAAGTCACAAGATGATTAAGGAGAAAGAGAGAGAGAGACAGAGGGACAAAGAGAGAGACAGAGAGGGCAGCAAGCTATCAATGAAGAAGGGCAAACAAGCTAAGAGCAAATTAGCCAAGAGTGAATCAAAATGTAAATCTGCTAAGTGCAAATCAACCAAGGTCTCCTTGATGGAGTTTGATAATCAGGGGGATGCTCAAATATCTACCGATGAGATGCCTGATGTACTCCCCCGCAGGTCTACACGTATCCGAGTAGCCCCCAAATCTCTCATATCTGGAGATTTTGTGGGACCATGGCAAAGGCTCTCGAATGAAAACAAAAGGGGATTAACGGATGTGGAATCAGAGGATAGCTCAATCGAGTGTGATTGTGTCGGTCTATGTTTGTGTGGAAATCTTGGTACACCACGGTTGCAAATGAATGTGGAAATGCAAGCCTCAACTGAGCAATCATCAAAGCAGCACCAAATACCTAATGCATGGAACACACCAACTAGAGTGCTAACTGATCTTGAGCAGTGGCCAAAATTGGCCATTGTTTCCCCACTGGCGGCAAATGAAATGATAATGTCAAAGAAACTTGGCTCACCTAATGCTGACCAAAGGAGAGAAGTAATTGATACCAAGCAACGGAAGAGTGTTGAAAATGTGCGAGCTTGTAGTAATGAAGATTTAGCTGAACTACATATGGAAGACACACAATATGGCAAGGATGAATGTCTTGATGGTGATACAACTGCTATATTAGGTAAGCCTCTACAAGTTTGGAGCTCTTTACTTAAAGAAGAGATTAACAAGGTGTCAAAAATGAAGTATAAAGTAGGTGCCCATAAGATTGAGAACCTAGTAGATGGCATGTACAATGTCCCTATAGAGATCTCAAAAAAAGGCTTTTCTCATTGGGAAAATGCCTTGGTTGGATACTTCATTGATAAAAGATTCTCTTTCCATTATGTGAAAACTTGGGCAGAGAAACTTTAGGGAAATTTGCTTGAGGATGTTGTCTCTATTGATAATGGGTTTTTTATTTTTAAAGTAAAAAGTGTAGAGGCTATAGACAAAATTTGGAAGATGGCCCCTATTACATTGGGGCTAGATTGATTTTTGTTAAAAAATGGCAACCTAGACTAAAACTAACAAAGTGTGAATTTTCGAGTGTGCCGTTGTGGGTGAAGTTGTATAATGTTCCTTTGGAGCTTTGGACTGTAGAAGGTTTGGGTTACATTGCTAGCATCATGGGAACTCCTCTTTATTTGGATGAGCCTACGTTCAAGAGAAGCAGACTTACGTTTGCGAGAATATGTATTGAAGTGCCAGCAAAATAAAGAGATCCCTAAGTCTTTCAAAATAAATCTTGGTTATGGTGACCCATATGAGATTCAAGTTGAGGTTCCATGGAAGCCTCAAAGGTGTGATGGTTGTAAGACTTTTGGTCGTACCACTAATTTGTGTCCTCAGAAGCCAAAGACCTTGAACCCTCCATCTTCCAAACAAGAGTGGAGAGTCAAGGAGACTAACATACAAGTTCCAACCAAATGGGAAGTGGTGAAGAAAAAAGGGAGAGATGGTGGGCAAGGTTCAACGACAGTGATAAACAAAGAGGCAGAGACGCAGTGTTTCACCCCATCAAGATCTAATGCTTTTGATGTCCTTGAATCATGTGATGTGGGAGAGTTGGGAAATGGAGAATTAAATCAAGAGTTGTTGTGTCAAACAAAGAGCCTACAAAGTAGAGGGGGTCCATCTCCAAGTGATCCCATTAATAAGGAGACTACAAAGGAGGATAACAGAAGAAAACTCAAAGCGAAACTTCATTACTTGAAGAGTGCTAGAGGGAAATTTTGAATCCTTTGTTGTGTTTGGTGTTTTTGTCGTCTATAGGCTTAGTTTGTTTCTTTTGAGGGAGTAGTTTATTTCTATGTTTATGTTTGTTCTCCCTACAAAGGATGTGTATTGAACTTCATTGTATATCTATCTTTTTTGGTTATAATATGACTTACTTATCCAAAAAAAAACACCTGAGAAAATTGGAATTGGTCTTGCTTTGTCAGATTCAGAAAATCCTGACATCAGAATGTGTGGTAAGTTCCTATACCCCTGTCCCCTCCCTTCCTTGAAAAAAAGACAAGTGAAGCCACATGTGCTTCATTTTATTAATCTATTGGTTTTTTTTTTCTCCTTTTTGTTAGTTTTGTACATTTGCTGCTTTTCAATATGGATGTTAACCGTGCACTTCTTTCCAGGGAAGAACTTCTGCATGGTTCAGATTGGGGAACTTTTTGCCAATCCTGTGTGTGTTAATTCTACTGAGCAAATTCAAAATATTTTTATGTTTCTTCATCGATCTGAGGGCCTGTCCAAGCACGTGGATTCATTTATGCAGATGTTATCTTTAGTGCAATTGAAAAAGGGTGACCACTTTATTTTAGCTCCATTGTTTTCAGATGAATTGCATGAGGCAACCTTCTTGAGGTATTAATTGTGTTTGTTTTTCCTCTGGAAACAGCTATGCTATTAGTTTTATGCTTGTTCTGTTAATTTATGTATCCTGTTTTAAGGTCATCATTTGCCTTGTTGCTCGTCTTGTTTGCTCCAGGAGCTTGGATTTGTTCGAAGGCGATGAGAATGATTTTGATGCTGTTCTAGCAGAAATGGAGAAGGAGATGAGCATGTCTGATATAATGAAGGAATTGGGCTATGGATGCACAGTTAATGTCTCACGGTGCGTGGAGATGTTATCTCTTTTTTTGCTGCTGACTGAAATCAATGTTTCTGGGATACTTTGCACAATTGCCCGCAGCCATGCTGGGCTTGAGGACAATCAGAATGCATTTTCGACTTTCTGTTATGCTCTTGGTACTGACAGTTCGTCTGATCTGCCATTGATGAGCTCATGGAATATTGATGTCCTTATTGATTCAATCAAGCAGCTTGTGAGTTTTTTTTTCATATCATTCTGTATCTTGCTTTATTTATTTGTATCTTGCTGCATATGCAATTTGGTAAAGTGCATTCCTTGTTTCTAATTATGAATGTTGAAGTACAGGCTCCTGAAACCAACTGGATAAGTGTTGTTGAAAACCTAGATCATGAGGGATTCTACTTCCCTAATGAGGCAGCATTTTCCTTTTTTATGTCCGTTTATAAACGTGCATGCCAGGTTTGTTTCATACATGAATTTAATTAATTACATGTATGTAAAATATGTTTTATCTGATTTTTATGTGGATAGAGGGAACTTCTTGTTTGTACAAAACATTGAAACTGACATTGCAGGATCCATTCCCACTCCATGCTATTTGTGGGTCTGTTTGGAAGAATACTGAGGGCCAGCTATCTTTTCTTAAGAATGCCGTTGCAGTGCCACCTGAAGTATTTACCTTTGCAAATGCTGGGAGGCAACTGGTATGATATTCTTAATCATAATTGTCAAATCGGGATTTGTATCGTGAATCGAAATGGCCTTGTACCGAATTGCGAATCGAATTGAATCGTGAATCATAAAGATTCGGTCATTTTTTCTAAATTACTTAAAAACATATATCTATACATTTAGATGTTAAATAGCTCTTATGAATATAAAATATTTAGACTTGAATCAACAAAAATGTTATTTTGAATGATAATCACGTAGTTTAATAGGTAAGAAGTTAACAAAGGTTCTCATGTAAGATCACTATCTTATCTTTTATTATTTTTTAGATATTTTTTATCAACTATTCTTAATAAAGATAATAACTAAATAGACAAATTATCAATTTCTAAAGTAACAATAATTAACAACGATATTGATATTTGGACAATAAACATATATACTTTTCTAAGTAACAGTGAGCAAATAATAAGAAAGAATTATTTAGAATATTTTATTTAAAGTCTAAAACATTTTAAAAGGTATAACTAACGTCACACATGTAATATTCAATTTAATAAAATAGCAATAGATAATTCATAGTGTAACTTTAATCTTAAACATCTTTAGAAGATATATTACGATATTTTGAAGGGAAAAAAAAATGAGAATAAATGTTAAAAATATGTTGGGTCTGACTGAATCTGATTGGATCTTATTAAAAACTCCATGATCACTAAAATAACAATAAATCATGTATATATGTTGGTTATTTTGATATTAAACGTTATTAGAAGCTGTATTATGTCATTTTCACTAAAAAGATGGGGAAAAAACGAGTTGAAAATATGTTGGACATAATAATTTCAAAAATTGCATGAATCGTAAGAAGTGAATCGAATTGTGAATCGTGCGATTCACTAGAGATTCATTTCCAAAATAGATTCACTCATAGATTCGTATCGATTTTGCAAAAATTGCGAATCGAATCGTGAATCAAATCGCGAACCGTAAGATTTTGATAACAAAGTTCTTAATATCCAGGTCTTACTAGTAATTTGCTGTTTCTGAGTGATCCAACTAATCAAACTACTCTTGCAGGTATATGTTGATGCTGTGCATGGTCTTAAATTTCAACCTGGACATGCAAATCATGCATGGGTATGTCTTGATCTTTTGGAGGTGTTGTGTCTGCTAGCTGAGAGAGGTCATGCAAGTGCTGTTCAATCAATGCTTAAGCATCCTCTTGAGCACTGCCCTGAAGTCTTGCTTCTTGGAATGGCCCACATTAATGTAATGTAAATGGGCATTTCTTTTTAATGTTTTGGTGTTTTCCTTTTGATTTGATAAAACTTTTTGTTTTAACTGCAGACTGCTTATAACTTCCTCCAATACGAAGTGTCTTCGATTGTTTTCGCCAAGATACTTAAAAATAGCACAGGGAGTGGTATGGTTCTTCATCTCTGGCATGTTAACCCTAACCTTTTGGTGCAGAGTTTTTTAGATGCTCGCAACATTGATCCAGACGATATAAGTAGAGTTTTGGACATCTGCCAGGAGCTTTAGGTAAAAACTTAAAGTGCACTTTGAGTTGAATTTCGTAATAAGGCAATAAGGTTGAATATGGAGAGATAATAGAGACAGAAAAGAACACAAAAGGTTTAATGTGGTTTGGCCAATATTGTCCTATGTTCACACACACAAAGCCTTATGGGTTACATCTTTCATTCCCTCAACTTCATACTTTTGTTTACATGATACACCATATATATAGAGTGGGAGATACAATCAAATCACTTCAGTTAAAGGATTGAAAGTAATCAAAGATACAAAAAATCATAGAAAACACAAATCATGGGATCTCTATATGTTCTGATATCTTTCGTATCTTCTAACATCTTTAACAATATAATCTTAGGCCAAGTTTGGCTACCCAAAATAAGTACACACTTTTTATCTTTTTTCCATCACATCACCTCTTTTCTTTTCTGCACATCTTTTCGTAAAAAGACAAAAAGTACACTTATTTAGGTCATCCCAAACAACCCTTTATTTTCAACACTCTCCCTCAAGTTGGAACACGGAACGGTTGAAATGAAGTGTCCAACTTGAACTCGAAAATAGGGTGATCATAACAAACAACTACAATTAAGTTGTTGAAAAATGACAACAATTGTAATAACTCTCCTTAATGACCACTTCGGAGAACATAGGCAAGGAATCAACATTTTGCAACAAAGAAATGTGCATAGAATCAGTCATGCTGGCAACAAGAGAAACCAGCCGAGGGAGAAAGCAAAAAGGCCGGAAAATGCCATATTACAACAAATGCTACCAAATACACTGGTAGTCCAAAACAAAAAAAGAAACAAATATGTGCTTACCACATTAGCATAGGGACCCTAAAAGGGTAAAAAAGTAACTGAAACACTCGGCATATCACGGGATAATGCTACCAAACACACTGGCAGCCCCAAAACAAGTAAAAACCATAGAGTTTGCTTACCACATCAGTCAACTAGTGGTCAACACAAGGAAAAGGTGAAAACACGTTGATAACAAAAAATATGGAGTGAGAAAGCACTCTAGAGCAATGTTTTAAAAACCGGACCGATGAGCGAATCGGAAAAGTGATTGGGTGGACGGATCACTGGTTCAAATGTCGGGTTGAATCGGAATCGAATCGTAATGTCATAATTATTTTATGAATATTTTTATAATTTAAAAATAAATAAAATACATTCATTTAAAATATTTTTATAATTTAATATATATATTCATCAAACATATATGTTTATATATGTTTTTATATTAATATTGTTTGTAAAAATATTAATTATACATGTGTTTGAGAGAAATTAGTTTGAATACAGTTAATATCAAAGTGGAAATTCATACTTTTTGGAGCTTGCGGTGTTGGGTTTTAGTCTCTTTAGCATGAACTTTTTTCAATATTGGACCAAACATAGCAAACTGGTTCAGTTTGCTTCAACTTGCACTTTTAGGGGCTTATGAGCAGAATAATAGTAGTGTGCTTCAGATTCTTAAGTCAAGTGATAGCTCAAAGAAAATAGGTGGTTCTGTTGCAGGCCATAGGTATATACGCAGAGATAGAAGGCAGGGTCATGACAGATTATTTGCAGATTATTTTGCTGTAAATCCAGTGTATTCACCTATAATATTTTGGAGACGTTTTCGAATGCGTCGTCTTTTGTATCTGCGAATTTTGAATGCAATCCAAGCACACAATTCATATTTTGTTCAAAAACAAGATGCAGTTCATGTAGTTGGATTATCTCCCCTACAAAAAATGACTTCAGCGATGAGAATATTGTCATATGGTGTCGCAGCAGATGCAGTTGATGATTACATACGTATCGGAGAAAGCACTGCAATTCAAAGTTTACAACAATTTTGTAATTCAGTGATTGAAATCTTTGGAGTACAATATCTGAGATCTCCGACACCAACTGACATTGCTAGATTACTTGCTATTGGGGAGGTTCGGGGGTTTCCTGGTATGTTGGGGAAGTCTAGAGCAGAAAAGATTTCCTTATTGCAAGTCAGTGGTTTTGTAAGTTATGAATTGATAATAAATGATAATCTTTGTCGTTAAAATAAATGGTTTCTAGTTTTGTGGTCATAACCTTTTGGAAGAATATCACTTCTTGGTTTGAAATGTGAAATTTGTAGTACTTTATGACCCTTCTTCAGGGTTTCCTATTTGATATGAGTTACAAGATTTGTTTACATTGTAGGGAGGTATACATCCTTCTCTAGTACATGCATATCGTTTTTCATATTTATAAGATGCTTTGTAGCTACAATTGAATTAACATGTATTTTTTGTTTATAAATGTGATAAAAAGAGTTCTACCTAACCCATGGTTTTATATTGCAGATATTTGCATGATGTAATCTACATTACTGGCTTTGTGCAGCTCACGACTATCATCTCTGAAAAGTTTTGGTACATTTATTTAGTGGTAAGATCCATTTCCTGAATTGGTTTGCTACCTGCATTAGCTGACTTATTTTATAGTGTTGTCAGGCTTTTGAGCTACTGATTAACAAAAGAGGCCAGCTTGTGGTTGCCTGGAGTTTATATATATAAGTATGTAAGTTAAGATTTGGGATTCTAATGCAGTGATTAATGTTAAGGAAATGGTCGCACTATCGTAAGGAAAGGATCAGCTTATATGTTTTTGCAGCTTATTCATTCAAAGAAAAATCACTAAATTAATGGATTGACTTGAAACTATGTTCTTCATCTACTTAATATGGTGGCTCTTGAGGACTTGGATTCCCTAATGAACTACCTTATCTTACCACTAAATTAAGAGTAATGTTAGGGATCATTAAAAAAATATCATGAAGATCATGAAAAAATTTTCACCCTTAGATTACACATATAATAAAACACCACAAACATATAATAAAACACCACACACTAATCAAAGGATGAAAAAACTTCATGAAACATTTCATGATATTTTTTTCATGATCCCTAGTATTATTCCTAAATGAATTTGTTATTATTTGTGCTGCTGTTTTTGTTTTTATTGTTAGTATTCAATATTATGTATTGTATGGCACTGCTTGTGTGAGGACCTTGCTATGCTTACTTCTTGTGTTTCCATCATTTTTATTTGCTGCCATTGAAATTTTGAGAGCGTTTTTAAAGAGTACATCTAACTGCAAGATGGTGATGAATAACTACATCTAGAAAACCTTTTGGGACATTGTAAGGTGAATGATGGAGTTGCTTGCCCTTTTCTAGACGTCCCCGAACGTCCCGGGAGGAATCCCGCGTTGTTCATTGGGGCTTACTACAGTTCGGACTCAAATGTCACGGTTCTGAATCTAATCCCGCAAAATGGAATGCGAGACCGATAAATCACCAAAGAGTCCAAATCCGGCAAATCGTTTTGAAAAATAGATTTTTAGAAAGAAGTGCCAAACATGGACTGCTTTGCCAGATACAGAGTCGCCACCTAAATATTTTGTTTTGGGAGAATTTAGGAAACCTAGACTCGTGCCTAAGGCCACGTGTCCGTCATCACCAAAGTTGCCTTGGCTCGGGAACTTGGGTACGATTGGGGAAGGTCATTTCATGAGCACCCCCGCTCGCCCGATCAAAGATCGGCTACTACTAAGCATGATATCGAGTTTTGAAAACATTATGTGCTCTTATTCCGATTATTAGCCTAGAATTACTATGTGATGCACACAACATACAAGTATAGACTGGATCGTTTGAGTTGGAACAAAACATTTCATGTTTGTTTATTTGAAAGATGGTTTGATGGTGCTACTCGCAAGTAGGCTAAGACGTGGATTTGCCACCCTCAAGTGGGCTTAAGAAAACATGATTTTGCCACTCTCAAGTGGGCGTAAAACTCTCAATTGGTGAATTGTTCCAATTTAAATAACCCAACCTTCACCCACAGGCATTCAAGCAGTTATATCACATATGCAAATAGCTTCATGGTAAGCATACTATCATGGCAGTCACTCACACGCATGCAAGGATGCTAAAGAATAAATACTTACCGAGTACTCCAAGCCAAAGAAAGAAGCTAATTAGAAATCATGCATGAATCCTAACTATGCTGAAATGCCAAATGCAACACATGCAAAAATGCAACTAAGATAGGCTCGGCTATTCTAAAATGGCATATGAAATGCAACAACTGATACACATATTCAACTCGGAATTGAAATACAATGCAGTTAGTATGATGCACCGAGCCCGGTGCATGCAAGACAGATAAATGGATGCAAACATGCGAGCATAAGTATGCTAATTGAAACATGCCCTAAACTAACCATCATAAGCTGGTAAATAAAAGGGAGAAAGACGTGG